ATCGGCCCAATGTTCTTGTGTCCGCGTAAAATATCTCATGAATGAACAAATGGAACCGATTTAGATGAAATCGCAGCAGCATCCAACAAATTTTTCCGACTTCCATTCGTTTCCTTCTTCCTCCCAGAAATTTTCTCGTCGCTTCTCCCATCTTCTCACCTCTGATCTCTCCTCTTCTCTTCCCTCGATTTGGAGGGATTTTTCTTTTTCTATTTTCTTTTTGAATTTTATTGCATTTTGCTTTCCTTTTTGTTGTATTTTCCATTTCACTTCGTAAACCCTAAACCCTTTCTGGATTTCCGATTCGATCGGATTAGCACTGTACGCAATCTTTCTTTGGATCAAACCCTAGGCCGGGAAGAATGCAGCAGCAGCGGCTCAAGCAGCAGGCTTTGATGCAGCAGGCCCTTCTCCAGCAGCAGCAGTCCCTTCTTCAGCAGCAGCAGCAGCAGCAGCAGTCTCTTTACCATCTCCCGGGACTTTTAGCTCCCCCACAGGTATTTCCTTTCTTTTACTTTAGTTGTTCATTTAACATCCATAAACCATTTCTTATTAAGATCATTGACTTATTGTTTCATTAGCTGGTTTTCTTCTTTGATTATGGTTCTAAGGTTAATGCAGCTTTTGCTGCGGAATTGGGATGCTTCAGCTTGCACTCAGTTGTTTGCTGCTGGGCATCTTGTTCTGTGGGAATTTTTTATTTTTATTTTTTGTCTTTCACATTGTTTTTGCGGATGATTCCGGCTTTAGGTCTGCTTCTTCTACAGTTGAAAATTCTGATTTTTTATTTTATTCGTCATTTCATGCTGATATATTGAAGTCTATTCATGGTACACGAGAATATACGCTTCAGGTCCCTTTTTTGTTGCGGTTGTATACATACCACTCCATTCTTATGTATTTACAAATGTAACATTTAAACTTTAAATAATACATTTATAACATCCAAATCTTTCATATCACATAAAAATGACACAATTTTAGCTTTTAAAAAGTGAAACACACCTTTTTCATTCATAGGAAAGGTGGCATACATGTAAAGATTAAAGTTTAGGTGTTAGATATGTAATTACATATGTGTTAGATATTCCATCCGATGTGTTTTTGAGTTTATTTCGGTCATACTTAAATTAATCACATTCATTTTTTTATCTTTATTGTTCCCTTTTTGGAAACTTGGCCATTTTATTCCATGCAATGGTAACTAGTTCAAAAACATTATTTTGCTTTGAGCTGTAGGCTTTGCATTTTGCCGTCCATTTTTTCCTATTATTAATGTTTCTACGTCTGACTTCGTTGTGCATTCATTTCTAGGAGAATATCCTTTGCGTAAGATTTTTTTGTTGTTCTTTTACACTTTTATTTTGCAGATAGAGCCGATCCCGAGTGGAAATCTGCCCCCTGGATTTGATTCGAGTTCATGCCGCAGTGTGTGAGTGTTATAGGAGCCTTAACATATTTTCAAATTTTCTTCTTTGCCTTATCTTTTACTAGTAATAACTAATAGTGAACATTGAACACTTGTCCTCCCCCCTTCCTTTCTTAACCATTGCTATTATAGATGTCTCATAAGTTTCTCCTTGCACTCTAATTTTTTATTTTCTCTATAAATTTTTCTGATTTTCTTGCCTTGATATAAAAAAATTTAGAAAATTGGGTTTCCCCCTTTTGTAAGGATTACATGATATCATTGTCATTCGGATTAATTACTATCTCCCCAGCAATATAGTATGTATCATCTCTTAGTTTTTTGCTCATTACACATATATGCTGATGCAGTTATGTTGGAAATATTCATATTCAAGTTACTGAAGCTCTTCTTCAAGAGGTTTTCCAAAGTACTGGTCCCGTCGAGGGATGCAAGCTTATTAGGAAGGAAAAGGTTTGCCAACTTTACACGTTTTATTTTTCACACCGTCTCGCTTTATCATCCATAATCCCCATTAACACATGTTGTATGTGCTAGTTTCTGTGCATTCTTCCTTTCACATGTCAGGGCTATGTAAATTTGTGTTTGATACTTTTCATGACACTGCATGCCAATATAAGGTGTTTGGAAGATTGTTATGTGCTCCTTGAGTCTTTACCTCTACAACGAAAGATTTTAGAAGATTAATATTTTAACATACATGAGAGTGGATTTAGGATCTGTTTGGGGGCATATGCTTCTATTTGAAGAAATAATTGTGAAGTTGCTGTAAATAAAATTACTATTAAAAAAGTTACGGCGACTGTTAAAAATTTATTTTATTTTCAAAAAGTCAGTAGTTTTCTAGCCAAATTTTGTTACAAAATGTAGTTTCCCACTGCAATTTTTTGAAGAAGCAATTGTAGTTTTCTAGCCAAATTTTGTTACGAAATGTAGTTTCCCACTGCAATTTTTTGAAGAAGCAGACAAAACATAATTTTTCCAAACAATTGAAAGTGCGTTGAGACACTGCACTGCCATTGTACTGCTACTCCAAATGCAGCCTTAGTTGTATTATTGGTAGTTAAAATATAAGTGTAAGAATACCAAGTGGTTATCCTACACCCATTGACTTGAGATTTTAGGTTGAAAATGAGTTTGGTCGCATGAATGTCTACTCCAATTTCAGCTCTATTTGGGTCTTACTCCCTAACATATAGTATCAAATTTGGGTTGTTCAACCAGTGTCTCCCATTGATCTTTTCCGATTTTTACCATGGTTGAATAAGGCTCAATAATGGATGCTCTCACGGTGCCACCATATGGTTGAGTGTGCCCTTGATACATTATTCTTGATGATGTTGAAAAGCTTCTATTTGAGCAGAATGGTGGCTAATATAAATAGCTTTCACACTAGGGGTAGATTTTAAGGTGTGTGTAAGTGTGCTTAGTCTAGTATCAGATGGTTGAAAAATATTTGGGTGCAGGAATAGCAAATAGTTAACTCTCACCCATAAGAATTTTGTTTTGGGTTGAATGGGCTTTGACTGTTGGTATATCAAGCCCGACTTTAGTTTTGCTTTAGGTCATAAACTTGTAATAATTTTTCTTAATTTTTAAATAAGCAAGGAAAAAATCCGGAAGATTGATATGTGTAGTCTTAGTTTTAACTTGTTTATTTTTGTTTGATGTGATTTTAAGAGAAATCCTAACTATGTACCATTGGATAGTAGTTATGAATTTATATTTTAAGATTATAAAGAAAATAATTAAAAAAATTAGGATCCTAAGATGAGGCGATCAAATTTGAAAGATGAGAAATGTTTAGTCCTTCAAGATAGGTTGCAAAGAGATGTAAATCATCATTTTGAGGATTGCTGCTCTTGAGGTGTAGACCAATGAATATGTTATTTGTAGCCTTGTCACTAATGGGTTAAAAGTGAATAAATTCTATGATATGATTGTCATGAGTTTTTGTGCTGATAAATCTTCTGAAGATGACCTTATAGATTTATGGTTATACAAATATGTTACATGTAATTTATGATTAGCGTATTGGGATGTAATACATGAACTTGGTTGATGATTTTCTTTAGTTGCTGGTGAATGCTAGAGTTGTCTGTGTTGATTGCCAATAGAAACATGCACAAGCTTCACTTTAGAGTGATTGGGACTAGATCTAGTTGTAGCTGATTCACTTTGATGTATAAGGGAAGCTCAACATAACTTCTGTATGGATATGCAATTTCCATCATTGGTGATTCTTTTTCCTAACATATTTCTTGGTGTTTATCATGAATCATGAGTTTGAAGTTATCCAAAAACTTATTAGCTTGGACCTTCAGTTCAGAATTTATTTCATGTTAAAATATCTTTGTTGATGGAGAATATCTCACTAAGAAGTTACCAATTTTTCTAACAAAGTATGGAATTCACAATGAATTCACTTGCCTAAATACTCTAAAATAGAACAGTGTGGCTAAAAGTAAGAAACAATACATTTTTTGAGATAGATAGAAGTTTGCTAGTGAAGCCTTTTCAGCATGAGTTTTTGGTTGATTGTTTGCAAATTAGTGTTCATTTAATTAAGAAGTGTTGGTATTGTTTCTCACACACACACACACACACACACACACACACACACACACACACACACACACACACACACACACACACACACACACACACACACACACACACACACACACACACACACACACACACACACACACACACACACACAAACACACACATGTTTCACATTCACACATTTAGTTATTCTGATGGCTTTTCTCATAAGCTTAATAAGAATATTTCAGATGTATGTTTTTGGAAATGACAAGTCTAGAAAGGTTTGGAGATGTATTGATCCTGTTATGATCAAGGTTTAATTCTCTAGGCTTGTTTTGTTTGATGAGAGCACTTCCCGCGACATTTCTTATTGATTTTCTTTCTTCTCCTCCAATGTAATTCAAGTTTCTTCTTTATCCACTTCGAATAAACATATTTGGAAATTTGTTATTCATTATTAAAATTCGAAGAAGAAATAAGCATTGAAGATGATGGATCACTTGATTAAGAATCTTTAGTTAGATTTCAGGGGAGTGGTAGGAAGAAAAAGCCTTCTGAGAAATAAGCGTTGAAATAAACCTTTTGGAAATTTGTTATTCATGATTTAAATTCAAAGGAGGAATAAGCGTTGACGATGATGGATCACTTGATTAAGAATCTTTAGTTAGATTTCAGGGGAATGGCTGGAAGAAGAAACCCTTTGAGAGATATACTGTGATTCAGATCATTCTTCATTTGCTTATTGGATTGACTTCTATATTTATTTGGTAGTTCACTTTGTCTAAGAGGACCAAGGATGTTTGGCAATGTGTTGGGAAAATGTTAGTAAGGATTTTATATTCAGTTTGTGATGGTATTTCTCTTGTTTCACAAAAAAATTGCAACGAGCCACCTCAATCTCTTAGGATTTGAGATTTGCAATCTTTAGAAATTTAACATTTAAGAGTGTTGGAATGGTCTCCTCGAAGAAGCATTCTATAATTCTTTTTATTATAAGGCTCTATTTGTGATCACTTTCTGTTTTTTTTTTTTTTTTTTTATTTTACGTCTGTTTTTTTATTTTATTTTCTGTTTTCTGTTCTTGGAAAACCAATTTAATACTGATGTGATTTATATATTTTAAAAACCAAAAATATGAAACATGTTTGATTGGGTGTTTAATTATAATGTGTTATATCTCATACATATAGAAATTGTAATAACTACTAATATGTTAATGAAATTTTTTTAGTAAATTGAAATTAATTAAATATTTTATTACGTTAATTAAATAGATTTTATTATTTAATTAATTAATTTATTATTTTATAGATAAATTAATTATGTTTTGTTTAATTAAATAGATTTTATTACTTAATTAATTAATTTATTATTTTATAGATAAATTAATTAGGTTTTGTTAATTTGAAGATTTAATTTATTTAAAATTTTTGTGAGTTTATTAGAATTTTATGAATTAATAAAAATTTCAATTAATTTGATTAAATATTTAATAATTTATTAATTAGTATTTTAATTAAGTTGTTTAATGTTTTCTTTAATTATTTATATATTTAATGGTATGTTTAAATCATTTAAAATTTTATTTTTATTTTTATTCACTTAACTAAATGAGTAATATCTTAGTTGAATTGTTATGGGTTTAATTGATTCATTATTAAGTTAATTAAGTAGATTTATTATTAAATTGAGTAATTATGAGTTAATTAAATTCATTTAGGTTTAATATAAAGAATTAATAGTTTAATTAGATGATTTTTAGTTTAATTATGTATTTATTAATTGATTTAATTAGTAATTTTTATAAATTTATTAACGAGTTAATTAAGCAAGCTTAGGAGTTAACTGGCAATTAATGACTTAATTTAGTTTTTTTAATTTCGGCGGATTAAGCTTATTTAAGCTTTTATGGCTTAACCCCGAAAAACATGTTTTTGATGTTTTGAAAATACACATCATGTGCTTAAAAAAAAAATTAATAAAAAAAAAAAGAATAAAAAAACGCTTTTTTTTCGGTTTTATGTTTTTTTGTTCAAAAACAAAAAAAAAAAAACAGAGTTTTTTCGGTTTTCTGTTTCTTTGTTCAAAAGCTAAAAATAAAAGAGTTTTTTCTGTTTTCTGTTTCTTTGTTCAAAAGCTAAAAATAAAAAAAACAGAAAGTGATCCTAAACATGGCCTAAGTTTTTTTCTTTTTTTATTCCTTGTTTTATTTGGTATGGCTTTGATTCTATTTATTTTGATTCTATTTACTTTGATCAAGTTATATGCTATTTATCCTCGTGAGCCAACTTAGAATGACTATGTTGAAAAAGGCATATAATCAACTTAATATGGCTCTTTTTTTTTTCTCTGTTACTCTTCTTGTCTCTGATTTGGCTATTCATAGGGTGAGGAATTGTGGTCTTTAGTTCTCAATTCTGCTATGATGAGTTTTTTTTTTAATTAAGTTCGTTGATATTAGTTTTTTAATTTGTTGTTTTTTATATAAAATAATTGATCATTGAACTATCTTTTTTTATTTACATGGAAAGATAAGCATGGCTGAATATAAGTGGGGATTAAATTGCTTCCCTAGTTTAGCTTTAGTTGAATTTGTTATGAATTATTAAAACCAATGCCTATTAATCCCCAATATATCATTAAATTTTTTGCTTCCCAATCAGGTCTAGCTCTTCCAACACTATTTATTTGCATTAATTTGCACTTCTTTTGATATAGAATCATTATTTGTATGTACCTTGTATTAAACATGGCCTAGAATCCATAAAAATAAATTGTAAAGGAAATTCTATTGAAAATATTGTTTTACCATAAGCATTTATAGGAAAATTTCCTATACCCTATTTGATTGTTCTTTGGTTGTATCCAAAATGTTTAAATCTACATTGTTTATTGAAAAGATA